ACTCATCCTAACACAATATTGCGGAATTTTTTTACCAAAAACCTCTTTGTCAGAACATGGACCTTGGCAGATTTCACCCTTTTCATGCTTTGAACCATCTAATTTCGTATCACCTAGATGAAAAGATATAGAAAAGACAAGAATTTTCTAAATTGTAATTATAGATAAGCTACATACCAATATAGCAACAGACTTCCTTCGAGGGTTCACAGTATTGACCCGCATTACAATCAGAAAATGTAGAGCACTTTCTCTTAGTACAATAAGCTTTCACATTGTAGCCTAAAAAAGGAGAATCTGCATTAAACAAATTCTACAAAAGTTGATTTGTCATGATATTATTATAACACTTAAGAAACTCCCAATGACTTTCAGGTTCATGATATTGCATATTCTTAGATTTAAAGCTTAAGCATAATCGAAATGACTCCTTTCATAGCATGTCTTTCAGCACCTAATACAATTGATAATAACCCAATCGAGACTAGAAAGACTCTTCGGAAACCTCTTAGCCGCATGTAATTTCTAAGCCGAAAATTTAAAATACTGATTAGATGTATAGGCTGATAGGCCAACAGGTCGATTACTGATATCAACCATTACATTACCATTTCAAAAGATACTTACAAATTTTTCAAAAAATCACTATTTGTTTTAAAAAGTCTCTGACATTTGTCAAATAAAATTTCATAAAACATGTAGGTATGCTTTTGAGAAGTACATGCATTCTACGTTATGTTAACCATGAAAATAAAATGAAAAGTCGAGTATTCTGATGCAAACTAAAACTGCCATTGTTCCTGTTAGTATCGCTTTTTCTCAATCATTATATCAAATTTATGGTTATACCATTTACTTTTATGAAGTGTTTTTTTTCATATTGCTTTTTCACCACGAAACGGATAAACAAAATATTACCTATTCTAATACAATTCGCTTACCAATTGGACAGCATCGTTTTTTCTGCGCAACATTTCTCTCAAAATATTCAGCACATAGAGCACGTTCATCTGCGCCACTTTCATCTTCTTGGCCTTTCATGCAGTCTTGAGGTTTTTCGCACTCTAACTCCGTCCTCATATACGTGTATTCATCAGGACATTTTGCAGCTGCAATAGCGTTTGTCACTGTCATGGGTTTTATAGGGTATCTTAGAGATACATTTACACTCGTGTTCGTCCTATATTATAAGAACGGCAAAAATGCAAGTAATTGAGACATTCGTTCTAAGAGATTTAGATCTGAGCGTTAGCATTTTAAATACTATTTTAATGTTTCAAAAG